CCTGAGATAGCCAGATTTTGGCTTTCTCCTCAGTAAATGGAGGTTCTGGTACATAGGCTTTGCCGTCGACAATGCGCAGTTGAAGAGCGAAGGCTGGAGAAGAAGTTTGATTTTTTACATTTGTCATTGTTGAAGGTTGAAGGAAGATGAAGATGAAGAACATTGATGGTGTGTAGTTTCTGGGTTTTTTGTTTTCTAAGAGGGCAAAGGATTGAAGAAGTGAAGGAAAAAGTAAAAAAGGGGAATAAGGGTATTTATAAACCCTGAGGAAAGATGAAATAATGGGAAAATCTTTTGTGATTTCACAAAGTTCAAATCACGTCAGGTAGTGGGACGCGTGCCACAAGACCAACGCAAGTTAGTGGACCACGTTTCCCACTAAAAGTGCAATGATGGCAAGCAATTAATGTCGCACGTCTCGAAACTGAAAGGTGTGGGACGCTATCATGATTGTGTGATGTCACATAAAATACAGAACAGTATTGTTCACTTTTTTGAGAAATGGAAACGATTTGGTCGAATGGTGAAACCAACGCTTCAGAGATGCCATGATCTCATGTTGGTCGAAATTCTAAAATGGAATCTCTGAGGAGCATTTTGTTACCTTGGAAAATCTTGAGGATTTCAAGTGCATGTGATAAATGAAAATACTCTCATAAGTTAAGAGGCACCTTCCAAAATAAGGGTTTTTTGGGAAACAAGAACCAATGTTTGAAAAGTTGGTTTTTATTAAGTCAGAGTTAATGCTAGGAAGGAGCCATGTTGAAACTGTCGAAAATTGGACCACGTCGACTAGGAAGAAATAATAGAATATGTCAGGAGGATTGAATTAGTGTAGTCGACCAAAAGGGTAAAAGAGAAGACTTAGTCGAAGATGGTATTAGTCGACAAAGAAGGGTATCTTGGACTTAGAGAAAGCGTGATTATTCTTTGCCAGAAAGAAAGCGTCGAAGCAAGGCATAAGCGGTTTATGCTCAAGAAGCTTAGAGGAAACGTGGGCAGTTACTAACAACCCACGACGTGCTCAAACACCAAATAAGTGGAACTTCAAATTATGAGCGGTTACTGTCAATCCACGACGTGTTTGAGCGTCAAATAAGTGGCAGCATCTAGTGAAGCAGTTACCTCAAGATGTTAATATTAGTCGTATTTTTATCTAGGTAGTTACTTTGTAAACACTATAAATAGGCAGATTTTGTGTAGCTTAGGAGTGTTCACTTGTACTCTCAAATCACTTGGCAAACTCTCTCATTCCAAGCGTCAGAAAATCAAGAGTGAAAAGTGCTTGATGTACGTGAATCACCATCTTTATTTCAATGCAAATCTTTTGTTTTTCAGTCATATCTCTTGAGTGCTTTATATGTTTTCTCTTTGCTGTCGAGAAAGATCTATACATTATCTTCTATTTTGCATGAACAATTCGACACTATCTGTGGGTCACGAGTCACCTGTCAGCTAGTTTAGTGAGTCTTGTTTTCGTACGAATATCTTCTGTCAGTCACGAGTTACCAGGCAGTCGATTAAACCATAGTATGGAAAACCATTGCACCCGTTTCCCCAGTCAAAAGAAAGTCGTTTCTCTTGATTGATATTTTAACAGAATAGGTGTGATAACAAAAAACTCTTAGCACGTGTCTTGAGATCAACTGGTCGATCTCGCAAGTTACCCTCAGTTTTAGGACTCTGGGAGGACCAGTGGTTGTTTACCATTTTCCACAGTAAACAGAGAGCTAGGTCTGATCCTGGAGTGGTCATCCATCACAAATTCAAGGTCTCTATCTTTGCTAAGTATGACGAGGTCTCTTTCCCAAAAATTCATCTGAGATCGTATGTTCGAAAAATCTAACCTCATACTGCTGACAGAAAATTATGGGTCCAGGACATGGATCTCTGTTAGGCACAACAATAGCCTCAAAAATTTCTTCTTCAAATATGTACTATTTCTTTGACACAACTTTAGAACAAGAGTTAAGTCTTCAAAGACCAAGTGCCAACGATTTCTGATGACAAGACTTCTAAAGACTAAGGTTCTAATAAACATAGCTACAACACTTAAGATATGATGGTTTTATTCCAAGCTTGATCCTTCTAATATATGCTTCATCAATTCATATCAAAAGCCTTTGAAATTGGAAAATTCAATGTGGTCAATCATAAAAAGTGTCAACGGTCAAACCCACAGTATCACCTCTATCCCGGTTTTACGGCAAAAAGGATATTACTTTTGTACTATTGTGTCCACCACTATGATATTATTCATTGGGGGATATAATGTTGTAACTACAAACACTATCTTGCCCTCTAACGTCTCTTTTCTCTAAATAATATCATTGTATCAACAAAAGTAAACACGAAGACATGAGAAAAGAAAAGAGAGAAAGAAAGAGAAGTCATGAAAGAGGAGTGACAAACAAAAGAACTTCATATTGCAAAACAAAAAGAGAAGCTACTATGTAGAGGGAATCAAAGTGATAAATATTCTTCAAAATACAAAAAGTTGTTACTTGTTACTTGTGTTAACATTTATTCTCAATCATTGTTGTAAACACAAAAGAGTTGTTGTTCATATTCTCGTGTAAACACTTAAACTTCAATGCGGTGTTAAATATGCTTTTATAGAAGCACTCTTGTAAATACTATTTGATTGTAATTGTTTCCTCAAGTGGCTAGAGTGAATAGTCAGAATACTTGAGGGGCTCAGTGTGTTTCTACCACTTAGAGGTTGTTTAAAGTTTTCTTAAGTGGTTAGAGTGATAACCAGGATACTTGAGAGGACTAAGTGTGTTTCTACCACTTAGAGGCTGTTTAAAATTTCCTCAAGTGGCTAGAGTGAATAATCAGGATACTTGAGAGGACTAAATGTATTTTTACCATTTAGAGGTTGTTTAAAGTTTCCTCAAGTGGCTAGAGTGAATAGTTAGAATACTTTAGAGGGCGAAGTGTGTTTCTACCACTTATAGGTTGTTTAAAGTTTCCTCAAGTGGTTAAAGTGATAATTAGGATACTTGAGAGGACTAAGTGTGTTTCTACCACTAAGAGGTTGTTTAAAGTTTCCTCAAGTGGCTAGAGTGAATAGTCAGGATACTTGAGAATATTAAGTGTATTTTTACTATTTAGAGGTTGTTTAAAGTTTTCTAAAGTGGCTAGAGTGAATAGTTAGAATACTTTAGAGGGCTAAGTGTATTTCTACCACTTAGAGGTTGTTTAAAGTTTCCTCAGGTGGCTAGAGTAAATAGTCAGAATACTTGAGAGAGCTAAGTATATTTCTACCACTTAGAGGTTATTGTAATCTTTCTAGACTATTGAATTAAGTCTTTTTCTAAGGCAAAATCACCTTGACGGGTGGACAAGAGTAGCCTTTTCTAAGGTGAACTTGTCTAAACCAAACATGTCATTTATCTCTTTATTGCTTTACATTCCTCTTAATGATCCCTAAGTCCAAAATCTTATGCCTAATCAATTATATCCATTGACAAATCAATAAGACATCAGTGGCATGATCATCCTGGACCTGGTGGTTCTCCAAGATCTCCTTATGAGCTAACCGAGATAAACGTCCATGAGCATTCAATGTTATAATAGGGTGTGACACTATGTAGAATCATGTCACATATCCCTCTACAAAATGCCAACTGTTTGATGCCTGCATCATCCAGCATTCCTCTGACACCATATGATTCTCCCAATCCTGGAAGATGTCATAGAGATCCTAACGAACAATGATGCGGGGAGCATCCTGAAAGGAGATCTGGGTATAGTTTGCACATAATCAAACTATCAGATGCATCACTTCGGAAGATACCTGACCATAGTGTTAAAGCCAAATGTCAGTCACCCTGAGTATTGAGATGATATTACCGGGACAATCTCCCTGTGATCATCAAACGACGTCCAAATGAAGTCATCATGAACAGTCCGATCAAGATACATCTGAAACGACGACACATCATGATTCCCTGTGTGGAGGATATACTTGCTAGTCCTCGGCATGTCTTCACTATAATCCAAATCATAATCGAAACCATAGATGTGGTGGAAGTGAGAAATGATTCATCCTTGAAAAACGAATAAGAGCTATGTAAGAACAAATTATTAGCTACTAAACAAAATTTAATAGTTGAAACGAAAAGTACTGTAAGCAGTGTACAAGAGTCAGTCAACTGCCTCGCCCTCTAGTTAGAAGCTTCATTCAGCTTTTGGTATAAGTATACCAAATAGCCTCCCAATTCTTAAAAATATATTTTGATCTTCAAATGAGTTGAAAGTGTTGTTCAAAAATTGCAAAAAAGAGAGTTGAAATAGATAGTTAGAATATAGAGAGTTATGAGAAATATATGTTTTGTTTCGAAAATTTATATATATATTAATACGATTCAGATATGCATATTCGAAATTCTCTGATTATGACAAAAAAATGTATTTCAGATATGTAATATTCGAATCAACTCCTCTAAATATGTAACATAATGAGTTTTAAGAAATATTATGAGAATTTCGTGAAAAAGCCTCTAAGAATGTAGAAGTGTGTATTAAGAAATCCACAATTCTTTTTCATTTTTTCTGATTGTGTATGTTTGTAATATTACGACCAAGAGAGGGTTACAACACTTTTCAAACTCCTCCCGAACACGGTACATATGTTAATTTATTGCATCCGAGTCGTGTTGCTAATTGCTTGCCAACCTTGCAAAAATCAGCCTCATTATGTAAACAAATATCAATTTCATTCTATCGTAAACAAATTCCATTGAAATTGTGGGTATGGTGTTTGAATTTGAACATCAAACTTATATCCAATCCTCACTTATTGAAATGATAAAGTAGGTGTTTATTGAAATGATAAATGGGTAAAAAGCAACATTGATAAGTGAGGCGAGGAAAGACGATGAAATTTGAATAATGGAATTCATTACAATAGATGGTGCTTATAAATAATAACAAAAAAAAGACAGTAGATGGTTCTAGAAAAGAAGAAAGAAAGAGACGATATGAGACGTGGTTTAGGAATCTGCGCGGTGGTTGATGGCTTTGCGGAGAAGAGCCTGACGTCCTGGGAATGGGTTGGCAACTTGTTTAATATCAGCAGCAGGAGGCACAACTTGTTGTTGTTGCTGTTGCTGCTGCTGCTGCGTCGATCTCATTTTGAGTCTGTCTCTTCTCTCCATCCTCCTAGTGATACTGATACTAGTAGTAGTAGTAGTAACAACAGCAGTAGCAGCAGGTGGGAGTTTGGGTTCAGTTGGATTACCAAGTCTGGGAATTCTGCCTCCTTTAGAAGTGCCAAGAAGGTCGAAATCAACTTTGCTCCAACCAATCTTATCCCAACCAAACCTCTCGCTTATCTCCTGGAGTTGAGAATCTGCGGGTTCAGTGGATCTAGTGGATCTAGCAGAGTTTCCATCTAACACGTTGAGAGCAAACTCCCACTCGATGCGGTCTCTGTAGATGGGATCTACAAGGACTTGATCTGCAAGAATTGCCCATTCCTCAAAATCCCGTGCACGTAAGTTTTTTGAAACCCACTTCAGATAGCTTGATGGAAGGCTTCCCAGCATCTTCCCCTTATATTTACCGAAATCTATTACTCTGTCTCTCGCCCACGACTTGCGCTGCTGCTGCTGCTGCTGCTTTTCATTTCTTATAAACATACAACTTGTATTCCTATTCTTCCTAATAAACATAAATTGATTTGGGATTGCCTGCTGATACATCGTCATGACCACGGACGGACGCCTCCACAAACAACAAGATTAGGTTTTAAAGATTTTTACTCTTCCCTGCCTCCACGTGGACCCACTTATCTTTAAACCAAATAAATAAATTATTTTTTGTTTCACAACATTAGCAAAAGCCGTTGGTTGATATGGTGCTGCTGCTTCCTTCAACATGTCATCATACTCATATTATTATCCATTTCCCACCACCAAACCTCTTCCACCACTCACGATCACTACTACGTCTCACACACAGGCTTTCCTGTTCAACCCTTCAGGAAATATCTGTTGCCTCACATGAACACAACTCCAAGGATGTCAAAACCACTTCTAAAATACAAGTGCCCAGACAAAAACACATCCCCGTTTCCAAGTCCCAACTTCTAGATGCCATCCTCTCTATCATGCTTCATCAAGATGCTGCTCATCACTTTCGCCTTCTCACCTCGTTAGTACTTTATCAATTTCAATTCACACTTTCCTATTTTCATTTCCAACAACACTTTCTTCTTTTCTCACCCACAGATGTCTCGACTCTATACTTCATGCTGAACACAAAACCATCTTAGAGGAGATGCGTTCAGATTATCACCTCTCCAATTCACTCCTAACTCAGGATGACCACCCTCTTGTCTACCACGACCACATGCAGCAGCTTCAACCACAAAACTCTGTCCTTTCCGACTATGCTCTCAACCTCCGCAATCTTTTGCGTTCTCTCGACCCAACTCCCAACAACAATTATGACAGGAGCTCCAGGTTTGTTTCTTCCTTTCTAATTCCATTGTTGCTCTCAATTCTTTAGATTGGACTTCCTAGTCAATAACTTTTAAATTAATCAAAATTGTATCACAAACACTCCACGGGAGCTGACTGTCATTTCTCCTTTAAATAAGCGTAAAAACTAGAGGACAACCTGTCCTATTCAACCATCTTCTTCTCATCATTCCATTTTTTTCTTTCTAATTTTATATCAATGTATTTCCAAAATAATGCTTTCATTAACCCATTTTTCCAAGCTTATTGGCAGAGTTACCATTGCTACTCGTTTCCAACGTGCTTTCATGCAACTTCTTTCTGATGCACAATTCGAAGAACTCTCAGCTCGGGATCTAATGTTGACATCTGCATTGAATACAGACTATCTCCTTACCTTGCCAATATATGTTGATTGGGAGAAAGCATATGAGTCTAATGCCATAATATTTAGGTAAGGTAATTTCATATACATATTTTCTGCATGTATGTTCTTCAATTCAAGATTTTTAAAATTTATCTTTTTAGATTTGAAAAAGCATAATAAAATATTTAAATGGCATGCTAGGAACTTTTGAAAGGTATAGTTTCACTATCAAAGCTTCAAACAACCTGCTTATACTCTATTTCCCTTATTCCATAAACAATTTCGTATTTCCTTTCCATTGTGGAGCTATTTGCTGCATAATTTCCCAGGACCCGTGTTTTGGATTCAGTCCGTTACCATTTTTTTGCTCTTTCTTTTGTAGTTGTTGCATAGTTTCCCTCTTTTTTTTTTTTTTGGTCAGGTTCTATATTGGATGTAGCAATGGTTTATTAATGCACCTGTTTTTACTGTCCAAACATTTGTTCTAACTGGCCATATAAGCATGTATTGTTTAGGTAACCTTCTAGATGAAAACATAGATTTAAGTAATACAAAGCAGAGTAGTCATAGCGGCGCTATCCCACTATAGTGGAGCAGAGCGGAGGCCGACCGCTATGGGAAGCACCTTAGCGGTGCAGAACACTAAACAGCCACTATAGGATAAATAGCGGAATAGTGGAGCAGAGCGGTTCCCGGCCCGTTATCCTTTTCTCCTCTAAAAAAAATCGAAATTACCTCCTTAAATTTTACAATGTTTAAAGGGTAATTTCAGAGTTTTTCAATCAAACGTTAACCTTCCTTCAGTCGTTTATGCACTTCTAAGAGTCATGTGTGCTTTGATTTATGAATATTTTATGAGTTGAGTTATTTGTTTAATTTTACATTAAATATATGTTTATATTTATTATATGTAATTTGTCCAAAAAATATCAAATAGAGAGGCCATCCTGCTATTTGCTATCCCGCTATCCCACTTTTGGGGTTGGCCGCTCCTTCTCCGCTCTTCGGGAATGACTACTTTGATACAAAGTATATAACTTAGCACATATCTACTCTTTATCTGATAAATGTGTTATCTTTTTTCTGTTGTAGGCGGGGTTATGCAACTGAGAAGCAGAATGGCCTATTAATTGTTGAAAAACTGGATTACTTACAGTCCAAGCTTCTAGAAACAATCTTCTCTCTTATATCAAAACCACTAGCAAAACTTGGCACCAGGATCAGCGAGGTTACTTTTTGCGTGGTAGTTTTGTTATTTACCTTTCTTGATATCTGAGTGGAGACATAAAGTCATCCCATTATTCAGGCATGTCAAAGAAAGTCCTTGACGTACATTGTCGTGCACGAAAATATCATTTATATTTGAAAGATACATCAATATTGCTTTAATGCTTTCACTGTCTTTAATTTTCTTTAGATATTCAAATGATTAGCACATGTCAAGGAAATTCAGTGTCGATTTTCAAAAGGTGAAGTTTAAAACTATTTTCTTACCCTTGACATGGATTATATCAGGAAGATCCCTTGACATTGTCTTTTATATTTATTCATTCAATGGAAATTAATTAGTTTAGGTTGATAATCTTTGATCTTCTAATACTAGAATATGACACAGGCATTTTTTAACTAGATTAGAGTCTATTTGAATACACTGACATGTAGGATATGTATGGTCTTAAACAATTGTTTGGCTTTTTTTTTTCTTACTTGGAGAAAACAGCCCTTTGAATTGAATCAACTCATCTGAGTTGTCAATCTATCTATAAGACAACAATCTATCTAAAAAGGAATAACGTACTCTGGTTTGGCACTGTTCAGTTTATAAGTTATGTGTGATATCATTGATTATGTCTAAATGGTCAAAATTATCTTACAAATTTTAACACTTAGGTATCAGGTATAATATGGCATGTTCACTTCTGCAGCTTTATGAAAATTTCAGTCAGAAACATGTAGTGCACAGTTGGGCAGAAAGATTGAGGCTTTGGCTAAAGGAACTGTCAGTATTTCAAAAGTCACTGCTCCATAATGACAATGCTTTGGATGAGCAAATAGGTGTAAACCAAGTACCAAATGAAGAACTCCCTATTTGGCTGGCAGCTCAGAGGGCAGTAGCTCGATATGAAGGGATTCTGTCACCTGTTGGTCCCCGTGAAAGGCTCTTGAGGAGATTGCTTTCTTGGATTGGACTCATTCCCCTTAAATCAGAAACACCTTTTCAGGTTGAAAATGACGGCGACTCTCCTGAACCTTATCTAAGGTTGCTCCACAAACAACTCTTTTATTACTGTCTGTTACCTTTGCTAGAAGCTCCAATTATTTGAATCATAAAGGAACAAAATTTTTTCCATGATACCAAGAGATCAGCTTTAAACTGATATTTCTGATTGCAGAAACAGTGGGATGGCAAAATCTAAGCAATGTAGTATAGGAATATATAGTATATCTACTTAAAATATAATTGAATACCAAAATACTGTCTATATAGCATTTTCATGTCAGATGCTTTAGGTTCTTACGAAATGTTCTTGCTCATCCAACATATGTAAAGAATGCCTTGACAGTATCAAACCAACTCCAATATTTAAACCAAGTATTTTTTGTCCTAAACTCACTATTCAGAAGTATCAGAGTGTTGTGAGTGTCTATTTTCTCAATGATCCATTTTGGAGACAGAAATGGCTCCTTTCTTGAAGGTTTGGTGTTTCATAGCTTGCAGCTAAACTCAAACAGTATATTAACATGAAAAGTTCATTCCATTATCATTTATGCATTTCTTTTTGCACATTGGAAGTGAAAGCATACTGGTATGGGAGGGGAGTAGGTGGCTATATGGAAGACTAGGGTCAGTGCCAGTTCAACTATCCACAGTGTGACATTATTTATGCATTAACTCCCAAGTTTAAAACTGGTTATAATTTATTCTTAATGCCTTATACTGTTTAGTAGGTAGTAATGACTTTGAGTCATGTATAAGAATGAAAACTTGAAATTGAAATAGATTGGATGCACCATGAGTGATCAAATATCACCAAACTACAAATTTGTGTTGATTTCATGTTTACTTTACTAGTATAGTGTAGTTTAGTTGAAGCATCATGGTTTGACATGACCAATCATTGAAATTCTACATCCAGGCCTACTTTTTTATCAAGGATATCACTTAGTGATATATGGAGACCTGCAACAAGGAAGTACTGCGGAAATGATCCTTGGAAAATCTTAAAAACTTCCATTTCCATACTTTTCTCAAAATCAGTCCTGCAGGTATTACCCATAATCTACAATTTTTTGTAGGGCTACTACATAAATATGTATTTAGGAAAGCCATTATGACAGACATGTCTTATCTTTGTGACATTCATGTCTAAATGGGATTCCGTTCCTTTTTCGGCATTTTGGCAAAAAGTCGACGATAGATTATGCATCTATTATTACTTATAAAAATTTGATGGTCTCCTAATTTTATTAATAACAATTTAGAGAGTTTTCAAATTTTTAGACAGGGAATTAGCAAGTTCATAGTTGCAATGCAATAGTTGATAGAGTTCCTTACTGGGAGCATTTTTTTTGAGGAGTGATATAATTATTCTGGAAAATTGATCCAAATCTTATACGTTTGCAAAATAGGAACCAGCCTTTGAGGAATTAATTCTATTGTATACAGAGGAAGTTGGAGAAACCAATGGTAAAGATAAAGCTGAGGTTCCATCATTGCAGTTAAAGATCTATGAGAGAATTCCTTTTCCAGATTTAGCGGTAATTATTTTGCCATTAGAAAGGCCGTATGATGTCGGATGAGAAGACTCTTCTTGGTGTTGTAACTTTGGCTTTTTATATGTTTGATTCTTCGGATGATATTTAATTTCTTTGCAGGTGGTTTTTCCTCATAAAAAGCTATCATTCCGCATCATAGACACTGTAATAATCTTCTAGAACTCTCACCTTTTCTTTCTTATTTAGTTTTAAATTCTTTTTTAAAGTTGTATGCTATGTCTATAAATGTTTCTATATGTTTATCTCGTATTCATGATGAATCATGATATTATTTGAGCTTTTTCTCCTATCTGCTACTAAATTTTCCCAAGCAAAGCAAACACTTTTTTTATCGGAACCTTATCCAGTTTACAAGCCAATATTTGTCTGGGCGATCTAGTCTTTAAAAAATATGAATGATAATGATGCTTGAAAGTTGACACAACTTTCTTGATAATGTTAGATAGTATTCCTACTTCATTTTTTTTTTCTGTAATAATTTAATAAGAATGCAGTGATGAAATTATTTTAGAATATTGTTTGTAAATGTACCTTGAATTACTCTATTTGTTTAGTGTTGTAACTTTTATCTGCAAACATACAGGTGCGCTTGGATATTGCCACAATTTTGGGACTCCTGGCATATTTTATAAACTACAAATTTGAGAATGTCTTATCTTCCCCGTATGTACATATGAATTTCAATTTTAAGTACGGTTCTAGTTTTCTATCAGTTAGGCTCAATTATCTCTGATGCTAGATAGTGTTATGTCTTGTGTAACACATCATTTACACCATAGGTCCATATATCAACCAATGCAGACTAATTCTTTTATCAGTTAAGAAATACATAGAAGTTACATCATCTATGAAACTGTTAGAGCACTTGTTTACAATATTTTACTTTCCTTTTAACATCAGATCAGCTGTATTACTTGATGTAGTTGCCGTAAGTGCTCTAATAATATATGGGAGTCGTGTGGCTCTAGGCTACAAACAGACATGGGATCGGTATCAGGTAGATTAACATGATATTTTCTTGTGCTATTACACAAAAGTAATATAGTTCTCTTCAGCATTCTATGGAAATGAAACTATCTGAGTTGTCAAAAATGTTATGTTGCAGCTATTAGTGAACAAGACACTTTATGAAAAGACATTAGCAAGTGGCTTTGGCTCAGTGCACTTTCTTTTAGATGCTTCTGAACAGCAGCAAGTGAGAAACTTTCTCTCATGCTTTCCGTGTATCTACATTTTCAGTTTCCATCTATAATTTTGATGTTCTTGGGGAATGCGGCAACCAATGCTGCTGAATCAATCGATTAAATAAATGGTGCTTAATATTTTTCTTCATGAAATTATCAAATAGTTTTATTCATCAATTTTAAGGTATAATTTTATATCCATTGCACAACAGTTATATTATACTGTGTAGTTATTCTGATTGTGTGTTGAAAGATGACAACTCTCTGCCAGGACTTAGTATTGAGAATAATACAAGTGTGAGTAACATGGAGAAATAGTCCCACATTGGATAAGAATGTGGTGACTTGAGCACTTATAAGTGGGAGAATCCACTCACCTATCACCTTAAGGTTTTATGTGGACAAGTGGTGTGTCTCCCACAAAGGAGTGTTGCTCAAATGGAATGTTCTACAAAGTGCAAGAATGCTCATCGCTCAACTCTCCCCTGATTGTTGTGCTAACACTTAGGCTATATTCGAATTCTGGTTAAAGTTGTTTGTGATTGCCAACTCTTTAGTCTAGTTTATAATCTTTCCTATACTCATTATTAGTATTGCAATTTGAACTTCGGAAACTTGTTTCTTCCAAAATTTTCATGTGCAGTACAAGGAAGCTATTTTGGCTTATGCAGTGCTGCTCAAAGCAGATAATGGCCAGGTTTGTTAAATATCCTCCCAACTTGGTTATGCTATCTTCATGTAGATTTTTTTGTAAGTAATAATTGTTTGTGAAACCAACTTATGATATTTCACTCAGTGATGCGTGTAACATTCCTTACTTCAGGTGACTTCTCGGCAAAGTGTAGGAGAGGAATGTGAGAGATTCATGTATGAAGTTTTTAAAGTGAAGGTAATGTATTGAGGGGTTTCTTCTCTCATATATGAAGTTAATACTTTAGTCTGTTATGCAGTAGTAGTAGTAGTGACTATAATCATTGCATAATTTGTATTCTTATACTGTTTGAAATTGCCAGGTTGAAATGCCAATTGACAAGGCACTCAATACATTATTAAGGCTGAACCTAGCTACTGAAACCTGTATTAATGGAAAACATGGATTGTTGGCTATACCTTGTCCTCAGGCCTATGAAGCCCTTAAAGAGCGATGGAATAGTTTGTTTTGTTAAAATGTAAAATTTGTACGTTTCATTAGGTACTGTAGAAACAAACTTTACGACTTATCAAATAAAGGCATTATATGGTACATATCCATTCTACACCTTGTGTTTAGACCTTTTTTAAGTACACAAAGCTTAATTAAAAGCTTTTGAATCCATTGCGTCAATTCAATTAGTTAGGAGTGTTTATTGTAATTCTGACTACTCTGCTGGATGAGATTGAGAAGGTAATAATGGTTGATTATGAATTCACGTCAATTAGATATAAAACTCAAAACTATCAGCTGAGATTCTTTAAATACGCTTAAAGTGTAGGTGACTGCAATCTAAAGCTCTGGCAAGGTCCAGTGTTCTCAAGCTGAAAGTCAAACTCAACAGTAACTAAGGTTTGACCGAGTGATGGTTGGTATATTTGGCTTGAACGTTAGTTAGGTTATACATTTACTAGTCCTTTGAAATAGAAGCAAAAGGAGAGTGTTTGTGAATGAATATTAATAATGTTGTTGATTAATAATATGAGTTTAGAGTTAGAGTGGGAGTCTCCATCATCATCACCTCCTACACCTCCCTCTCCACTCCCTATTAGTTATGGAGCAGGAAACAATAGATACTCTTTCTCAGCTTCTTCAACTCTATCGCCACCTTTCTCGTCTCCTGAAAATCTCTCCCTTCTGCATGTGCCATCTGTATTTTCAGTGGATTTCCAAGATCCTCCAGAATTGGAATCCAAGAGTACATGCCTCAAGGACTTGTAAGTATGATCAATCTCTTCTCTTTACTTCAGAAGCATATATCTATGTCTATCCTTGTGTTGTGTTGTGTTCTATACTAGACTAGACTAGTAGTTCAATGAATTTCTTGACTAGTAGGTAAAAGGTTTATCACATTCTTTTTTGGAGACACTCACCAGTCAAAGGTTTATCACATTCTTTTTTGGAGACACTCACCAGTCAAGTCAAATGGGTTTAATGCCTGATGACAAGACAACACTAACTAACCCTTCCCCTCAATAACAACAGGTTGGAATGGTTTATACAAAAATGTTGCTGTTGCTGTAACAAATTTCCTTCCATCTCTCTAACACCACAGAGCAGGTCCATGATTCAAAGCAATGATCAAGATTTTGTTGCCATGTACATTACAACTCCAAAACTTTCTGCTCAAACAACATCTAACATGCATCTCGGTATTTAGCTGCAATCAACTATCAACAAAACAATGCCAATACATAAACATATGCTTAAATTATCAACTTATTTTGTATTCGAGCTTTACATTCTTCGAGTGAGTTTGAACTTATTTTGTTTTTCACAAAAGTTTGCCTTCGAACTTGAAATTTTATATTTTACATAGAATAAATGTCTCCTAAAATATTGATTCTCAAATGTCTTAAAGAATTGACATTTTAAAATTCTTATGTAAAATTAGTGCGAATTTTGGATTTCTGATATTTTTTTTTCAAAATTTCCGGTGTAGTTTTGAAATTTTCATTAAAAATTCATGAAAGTTATGATTTTTTATCGAAAATTTTAGTATTTTTTGAAAATTTTTGATGTAGTTTTAAAATTTCCAATATTTATTCACTTTATAAAACCAATAACTTTAGATAAGGATATAATAGTAAAAACATACGATATATGAAGGAGCATAAGTGGAGGGTGACATGTTAAAGAAGTACCGTGACATGTTAAAGAAGTACCGAATTCACTCAACTGCAGCAGTAGGTTGATTATCCATATTGATAATTATTTTACAATAAAAAGTTGATAATCATTCTTCCCTCTTAATATATCTTAGCAATATTTTTAGAGAATTTCTTAGTATACCTTTATATAGGTGAAAAAATCTCTGAAAATCTTAAAATATCTTTCGGATATGCATATTCAAACGAATTCCTAAATCAATTTTTAAGGTGTTTTGGAGATGCATATCTGAAAATCCCTGTTTACACATTATTATTTGAACGTTGAATTTAAACATTCAGTGGTATTTTCGGATATGCATATCTGAAAATACATTTGTTATATAAGTTTGTTTCACGATCACCATTATCACTATTTCATTCATTTCATTTTCCCCCATAATCAAAATCTACCACAAAACCTCAACCATTCGTCTCCAAACCAAGTTTCAAGTGTTTTATCATATCAAAGAGAGTACAAAAAGCTACAATTTAAGGTAAAATAACAAGTGTATATGACAGAGTGTTGTCATACCCAAAATTTGTCCTACCTTTTTACCTTGCTCTGGCTTAGACTTTACATTTCATTTGTATCATTTTCACTAGATTCATCTGCATAGCATTCTTTCATTTAATAAGGCATGGGTTTCAAAAAGCAGTGTTTGTGAAAATTAGGATTTTCTTTGATTTTGAGGTTTCTACATCAACAAGTTGTTTACCCTGCAACTTGGTAAATAACCGTTGATCCTCTAAATCTTTTAACAGATTCAGTTACTCACGAGATCAATCAGATTGATCTCAGGTCTATTGTATTCTATTATTTAGAAAGTATGTTTTGATGATAATCTCTTTAAACAAAAGGAATCACTTCGTATGTTGAAGTGAAACTTCTTTATGAAAGTAACGAAATATAAACTAGTCTAGACTGGGAAATGTAAAGAACGTAAATAACGTAAAGAAATTTCATTGAATGTAAATGACATTGAATAAAAATAGGTGCATCATACGTACATTCTCATTAACTCTTTTCTCGAACACTAGTACTTCGAGTATTTTGAGTATTTTGTACAAAGATGTGAACACCTCAAATTGAAACGCAAAAGCTACAATTTATAGAACTTCGATCCTAACGGTCTTCTAACAAACTAATGCCACATTTTCGCTGGCATGTCTTCGGTAATCCTAAAGATTCCACACGTCCTTCTGGATAAGAATGAACATTCGAATTCAAAAACCCTTCGCTTATCCGTCATGAGCGCCAAAACCCGATAATGGTTGAAATATAACGTTTTAAACCTTATCTCGAATAATACCTTATTTCGCAATTCGAATTCCCTAAACTATCCATCAATTTCGAATTTGAATCTTCATGGTTTTCAACAAACCAAATAGCCAAACAATTTTCTAGGTATATTCAGACCATTGGCTCAGCTCAATTTCTCCTTAGTCGAAATTTCCAACCAACAAATTGCCTCCAAGAAATATTCATTTCAAAATCAGAAATGCATATTTTTTGTAATCTCCTCAAATTTCGATCTTTTGAACAACTCATCAACAGCTTCAACTATTATGATGTCATTATCATAATGACTTTTGATTCCCAAACGTCTAATTGCAATATGGGTATCTATAAATCTCATCATTAGCTATGATGAATAGTCTTAACTTTGGAACTTACAAAAACCGTTCATCAAGCAAAGGATCACCTTACATGTGTCCCACTATACGAGATTCAACTTTCCTCTTTCCATTAAAAAACGGTTCAATCTCCCTTCATATAAATTAATATCATTCATATTTTTATTTTATGCACTTTTTTAAATAAAAATGTTCTCCCTTCTTCTTCCAAACCTCAACAAACTTTTCTGTAACTTATTCTTCTTCAAAACACAATCAATGGCGCCCCAGAAGAAATTAAAGTCTGGATAGAGTAAACAAAACAAAGAGGATGTTGCTTCCAACCCTTTACTCAAAATAACAACACCCATCATGATTGGAAATCAAGAATTTATTCTCACACCATCTCTGAGGAATGAACTAATTGCCATCTACGCTTCTCAGGTAATGATTCCCTTCACTCTTGCTTGTGATACCTTAGGATATATGGGTCCTATACTCAATGTATCAGATATATCAAAACTCAAGAGGTTTTTTCCTGCTTACCACTTGACTAGACCCATAGCTAGTAAACCTAGGGTTAGTTAAAAATCTGTTGAAAATATTAGGGTAGAAGACGAAACAATTCCCCAGAAAAATACTCCTCAAAAGGGTAAAGAACAAAATGAACCCTCCTTTAAGCTAGACTTCGCCACAGAAGTTTTGAGACCCTTTAGAGCAGGTCCATTGAAAGAGGACAAGAAGTACCTTGGATGGTTAGCTAGGATAGAGAAAGAGAAATCGAAAACATGGAAGAAACTGGGAATCTTCGACTTGATTCATCTGTCGAAGTTTGGTCCTGAATACTGTCAGCTAATGTTAACAGCTTCCATGTACTTCTAGGATAGTACTTATAACACCTTTCACCTACCCTGTGGAATGTTAACTCCAACACTTTTCGATGTTGCTGCAATCACGGGCCTTCGACCCACAGGAGAAACTTTCGATCCTACCTCGGGCGCTGATGACTCCATCAACTTCAGCAATGCTTCTCCCACTTACAACAATTACATTGATCACTACTTGGGATCAACAAACGAAGTTAATGACCAGGAACACATAGATTTTCTTACTTTATGGCTTTCTCGATGTGTCTTGTGTTGTAAATCTCTACAAGTCGCCAGAAGATTTTTGACCCTTGCCAATCAACTCCATGTTGGCCGAGATGTTTGCTTGAGCAAACTAATTCTTGTTGAACTGTATGAGAGTCTTGAGGAGTGTGATACAGTGGGAGAAATGACTTGGCTGTTTTGCATTTGATCACAATTGTTGCGGTTTAGCAAGAGTCGCCACCGGCTTTTCTTTTATCCGATAAGGAAAGGGTGAAAAGAACAGGAAAGACCTTTGAGATTATTTCTTGAGTTCGGGGGGTAGGTTATGAAAAGGGAAGGTGTTATCACCCTTTTCATTTGTAGTTATCTACGGGCTCTTAGTTGCTTGATAGATCACTTGCTTTTGTTTGAAAATGTGCTTATGGTGCGGGTTTGAAAGTATTTTGAAAACATATTTGTAATGATTCTCGTCTCTATAAGAATGAGTACAAAGTGTTGGTTTTGAAAATAATTCAAAGAGATTTTTTTGGAAGATGTTTTTGAAAGTGATTTTGAAAAGTGTCTTTGTAATGATTTTCGTCTCTATAAGAATGCGTACAAAGGGCTTTGACTTTTGAAAATGTTTCAATTGAAAATGTTGGTGTGAACAATGTTTTTGTTGTGAGCAAGCGAGCAACTATGAGCATCCTACCTACTCAAAATGCCTAATGTTCTTTTCCTCCTCCTTTAGATGTTACTATCTTACCATTGATTTGGTAAGAAGCTCCATCGTTGGATGTGAAGGGACGGATGTGGGTCATTTATATAGTCATAGAAGGTAACCTATATGACAGTTTAGCACTTTTCATTTAGGGACTAGATCGTTTACCGAAGGCAACATCGAGGGACTACGATATTTTATCAAGGGTCTTTGCTAGAACGCCCATATTCGAGGGACATGACTATTTTTCCGAGGCAACAAGTGCGATCACCCTAGAGGTTCATGTGTGCAAAATGTGTTTGATTGCATGCATTTTGTCTTTGATTTTTGGGTTGTCTACTTGTTGGTTTTATCTTGCCATACATCCTAATTACTAACATTTGTACAAAAGCAATAAAAATGCATAAAATAAATATCCTACACTATTACAACCATATTGAATAGCAAGAAAATGTAAAGACAAAACAAAATAAAAGAAGGTAAAATAAGCCTTTTGATTTAGGCAGCAACACCCTTTGATTCTGCTCTTCATGGCTTCTTTCGATTTTGCCTGGAAGTCAGCATGTGCAGGAAGCTTTAGGTTCTACCTTTCTGCTTCCTTCGATTGCAGGAATGTTAGGGCGAGCAAGTAACCTTCGATCATGCCCTTTGCTCTTCTTTCGACTGAGGCCTAGGAGTCAGTGTGGACAACTTTCGTTTCTCCCTTCTTGCTCCTTTGTTTGGACTGTGAAGCAGCCAGGGGCGAAGCCTAAGGCTTCGTTTCACACAAAACTCCTTCTTTTGTTTGGGGTCTATACTGGTTAGTTCTACCACATATTTGGACAAGAGAAACAAACGAAAAAGGTAGAAATAAAAAGGAAACAAATATTATGTACATGCTTAAAACGAAAAGTTTAAGGTCAGAGTGACTTACCTTGCTTGACGTTGGAATGTAAGTGTTGGACCTTGAGCTACTTCCCTGGGTGCTCCTGGATTCGAAGGAAAGAAACATGTGTGGTGTTTCTTTGACTGGATTCGAAGGTCAAAGAGAGTAGGGTTGTTCTTGTTGTTTCTGGATTTGAAGGAGAAGAACATGTGTAGTGTTCCTTTTGTTGGATTCAAAAGA